TAATCAGGTTGCAAAAAGCTTTGAAACCCTAAAGGATACATCTCGGGGGTCATATAATGCCGTTTAAAACCATATATGATCATTATGTGTTGTCACAAATGTTCTTGGTAGGTTTGAGTTTACGAAATCGGTACAAATTGCGAACAGGGTAAATGACCGTTTCAGGACATATTGGATGGTTCCATCGACCCAATTGGACTCATGGAGGGTATTAGGGACCATGGTAAACATTTCGGCAATTTTATTTTCGGGCGAAAAAAGGTCAAAACATTACAAAATCGAAGGCTATTATCCACGCTTTTTGAGGAAATTTTGAGGTTTTGGTGTCCTGTGGCGAAAAGTGTTGAGACCCTAGGGGATACATCTCGGTGTCATATAATGCCGAAACCATATATGATCATTATATGTTGTCATAAACGTCCGTGGTAGGCTTGAGTTTACGAAATCACTACAAGTTGTGAACGGATAAAATGAACGTTTAAGGGCATATTGGACGGTTTCACCGACCCAATTTGACTGCCGGAGGGTATTAAGGACCATGGTAAACATCTTGCCAATTTTTATTTCCGGGCGAAAAAAAGTCAAAAAAATAAAAAATTGAAGGCTATAATCCACGCTTTTTGAGGAATTTTGTAGTTTCGGGGACCGGTGGCAAAAAGCTTTTAAACCCTAAGGGATACTTGTAGAGATCATATAATGTCGTTTGAAACCACATATGATCATTATATGTTGTCATAAACGTCTGTGGTACGCTTGAGTTTGCGAAATCATTGCAAGTTGTGAATAGTTAAAATGGCCGTGTTAGGGCATATTGGATGGTTCCATCGATCTAATTGGACTCCCAAAGGTATTAGGGACAATGGTAAACATCTTGGTAAGTTTTATTTTCGGGCGAAAAAAAGTCAAAAAATTACAAAAATTAAGGCTATAATCCACGCTTTTTTAGGAAATTTTGAGGTTTTAGAGCCTGTGGCAAAAAACATTGAGATCCTGAGGGATACATCTCGGGCTCATATAATACCATTTTAAACGTCCGTGGTAGGCTTGAGTTTACGAAATTGGTGCAAGTTGTGAACGAGTAAAATGACCGTTTAAGAGCATATTGGTTGGTTCCACCGACCCATATGCACTCTTTGAGGGTATTAGGGACCATTGGTAAAGATCTCAATAATTTTTATTTACGAGTGAAAAAGGTCAAAAAAATTACAATATTGAAGGCTATCCACGCTTTTTTAGGAAATTTTGAGGTTTTGGGGTCCGGTGGCGAAAAGTGTTGGTACCCTAGGGAATATATCTCGGTGTCATGTAATGTTGTTTGAAACCATATATGATCATTATATGTTGTCATAAAATTACGTCATAGGATTGAGTTTACGAAATCACTTCAAGTTGTGAACGGGTAAAATGACCTTTTAAGGGCATATTGGACGTTTCCACTGACCCATTTGACTCCAGGAGGATACAAGGGACCATGGTAAATATCTCGGCAATTTTTATTTTCGAGCGAAAACAGGTCAAAAAATTACAAAATTGAAGGCTATATAATCCACGCTTTTTTAAAAAATTTTGAGGTTTCGGGGCCCGGTGGCGAAAAGCTTTCAAACCCAAACGGATATATCTCGGGGTCATATAATGCCGTTTAAAACCATATATAATCATCATATGTTGTCATAAACGTCCGTGGTTGGCTTGAGTTTACAAAACCAGTGCAAGTTGTGAACGGTTAAAATAACCGTTTAAGGGCATATTGAATGGTTCCACCGATCCAATTTGACTCCCGGAGGATATTAGGGACATAGTAAACATCTCAAAAATTTTAATTTCCAGGCGATAAAAAGTTAAAAAATTACAAAATTGAAGGCTATAATCCTCACTTTTTGAGGAATTTGAGGTTTTAGGGTCCGGTTGCGAAAAGCTTTGAAACCCTAAGGAATACATCTCAGGGTCATATAATGTCGTTTGAAACCATATATGATCATTATCTGTTGTCATAAACGTCCGTGGTAGGCTTGATTTTACGAAATCACTACAAGTTGTGAACGGGTAAAATGACCGTTTAAGGGGATATTGGTTGGTTCCACCGACCCAATTGTACTTCCGGTGGGTATTAGGGATCATGGTAAACATCTTGGCAATTTTTAGTTCCGGGCGAAAAAGGTCAAAAAATTACAAAATTGAAGGCTATAATCCATGTTTTAGAGGAAATTTTGAGGTTTCGGGGCTCGGTGGCGAAAAGCCTTGAGACCCTAAGGGATATATCTCGGGGCCATTTAATTCCGTTTGAAACCACCTTTGATCATTATATGTTGTCATAAACGTCCGTGGTAGGCTTGAGTTTACGAAATCAATTCAAGTTGTGAATAGGTAAAATGACCGTTTAAGGGCATATTAGATGGTTCCACCGACCCAATTGAACTCTTGGAGGGTATTAGGGACCATGGTAAGAATCTCGGCAATTTTTATTTTCAAGCGATAAAGGTAAAAAAATTACAAAATTGAAGGCTATAATCCACGCTTTTTAAGGAAGTTTTGAGGTTTTGGGGCTCGGGGTCTTTACGTCGCCGGATAATGGTGATATATGGGTCCACACAATATTATATGGGGGGATTTGTCCCGTAGTGTTATGTGAAATTCCAACACCATCTCCCGACACCTCCTAAATCGCTTCGATTTCGTGTATTATAGTAGAGTTATCGATTCGGGTATTCAAGTCGGATTTGGGTTAGGTCAAATCGTGTCTTGGGTATAATTAGGATATGGTTATATATCGGGTCAATTTAGCCTCACGTCAGGTTCAAGTTTGGGTCGGATCAATTTCAGTTAAGTTTATTCTGGGTCGTTCACCTTTTCGGATATATGTCGAGTTCAATTCAAGCCAAATTCAGATTGTATTCAATTTCAAGTTGTGTGTGATTCAGGTTTGAGTGGGTTAATAGATGGGACATTCGGGTTTGAGCTAGTGTGGAGTTGGGTTTTGGTTCAAGTTCAATTCCAATAATTTCCTTAAAAAGTGTTAAACCTTCCATGACTCGGGTACATGTTCTAATTGGGTCGGGTACTAGTTCGGGTTCAGATTGTTGTTGGGTCGGATTAAATCGGTTGGCGGTTACTCTCAGGTCGGAATCAGGTTCGGATTCAGGTCAAAAAGTATTGGATCAAATCGGTTGTTGGTTAACATATGGTCAGGTTTAGGTCGGGTTACAGGTCACTAGTTTCACCCCATTGTCCGGGAACAGGTTGGGTTCAGATCATTGTCAGTTTAGGTCGAGTTCTTGGGTCGGGTAAGTTTTTGACAGCTCTAGTCCCAACACCAATGGCGGATACACCTTTTACTCCATCCAAGCTCACTACCTATTAAACCTTCATCCATTTCCATCTAAATGGGACAAATGTGAGGCAGGTCTCCACTAAAACTCGCCTCATTGACATCCCTATAAATACCTTATAATAATTTCTACTGTAAATTAAATCTGTAGGTATGAGGCAAGCACACCATTAAATCCACACTTGTCCCACCACCTATGGCTGGTACAAAGCTTACTCCATCCTAGTTCATCGCCCACAAAACCTTCACTCATTTCCATCTAAATGGGGCAATGCATGGTAGATCTCCACTAAAACTCCCCTCATTGACTTCTCTACAAATATTTACTTAACGTAAATAGGAAAAGAATTTCTCGTATGAAATTGAATCCGTCCCTCACGTAAGTAATTGTTTGATGAATAAATTTATATTTTAAAAAAATAAACTAACATAATATACAATAAACTAATTGTATAGTTTTATTAAGAAAAATGATATAACATAGATAGCTAAGAATGGAAAAAAAATTTCATTACAATATTTTATGCGTGACTTTGACATGCATTTTTATATGAATAGTAAATTAAATTTTACTTATAAGCTTAATTATTTTGATGTTTCGAGTAGTAAACCATTTAAAATGAACAATTAAAATATAATATACTTCTTCAAAAAAAAAAAAAAAAGATGCACTTCCTTATTTTTATGCCGATTCACTATTTACCATTAACATTTCCAATTTTACTTTAGAACTAAATATAAAAATTAATATTTGAAAAGTATATATCAACAAAACATCACATGAATCATTGACTGTTTCTCCTCATGCATACGTAATAAAGAATTACGAAAACACAAATATTATAAAACACCCGGTGTCAATAGCATTATTGTAAATCGGCTCAAATAAAGTAAGTTATCATCTGTCTGTTTACAACTTCTTCCTTATTTTTCATTTTCTAGATCTTTTCTCTTCTTTCAGTTTCTCTCTCTACTCTTACTTTCCTCTCTCTCCTACTTTAATCTTTCATTTTCTCTTAATCTTCCATGCCTAAGAAATCACTTCCTCTATTCTGAAATTTTCAACCTACAATTAATCTTTTGTTGATAAAAAAATTTCGACCGTAAAACCAATTTCTCAAATGACGATTTTTTCTCAATATTTTGTTTAAATTGAGTTTTTGATTTATATAATTGAAATTCAATCAATTGTTTCTATCAACATTTATGAACCTTCAGACACAAAAATAGATGATTAGCTTCATCTCAAATCATTATCGAAGTGGCACAAAAATGGCTATTTGGTATGGCAAATTAATCTTCGTTTCTTTTCGCTACGGTGTTAGTCTTCATTATGGTGTTTCCCACAAACATTTATGCTGATTGTTCCGGTGAATTTGGGATTTTTTGCTTCTCGAATTTAAAGCGAATGATAGTGGTTATTGATGAAAATTCCTATGTTACTTCTCTGTTTTGTTTGGTAAAAAAAAAAAAAAAAAAAAAAAAAAAAAAAAAAAAAAAAAGTCACTTTTGTGAAAAGAAAGGGTCACTTATATGAAAAAAGGGCCACTTTTGTGAAAGTATGGGTCACTTTTGTAATAGAAAAGGTAACTTTTGTAAAGAAAAATGGTCAATTTTCGCAAAAATGTTCGATGTACAATAAAATTATGGGATATTATCAATGATACCCTCGTCGTTTTGACTTTTATCAATGATATCCTTCATTAAACTTTCATTATTAGCGGTACCCCTATAATTTTACCTTAATTGCTACAATAATCATGACGTTAAACAAACGTTAAGTTTGGTCATTTGATAGGTTTAATCATGCTCAATGGCAATATACAATATTTAATTTCTTCTTCTGAGAAGGCAGAAGAGGAAGAGGTGTCTTTACGTGACTCCTTGGAAGCAAAAGAAGCACTTCTCTTTCGTGCCCTCAGTGAAAATGAGGCCTTGTTCCTCTCCTTGTATAAGAACTTCTCTGTTGTCCTGCTTGATCGTCTCCCTGAGGACTCTCCAATCGGAACATCTCGCCTGCTCTCTAGTCAGACTGACATGTTGACTCTAGATTCCGATGAGCCAGCAGGAATGGATGTAGACCAAGAGAAAGGTGAGTCCAACAGGGATAAAGGAAGTGCTGCCTACAATCTAAGTGAAATGGACCAATGGGGTTTATCTACACTAGGATATATCAAGGCTATCACCAGACAGTATGCATCAGTTACTTTTCACTATAAATCAAACTCCAGTACTAAGTCATTAATTACTGTTACAAAAAATCAAAATCCAGGTATTCATATTCCATAATTAAAGAATACGCTAAAGAACCCTAGGTTGCAATTCCAAAACAATTATTGTAAAAAATGTTATTACATTTCCAGTAAGTAAATCCATTAATTGACCTTCCCCTTCCCCTTCTCCCAACAAAGACAAACATTCATGAAATTGAAATAAACATTCCACAAATCCAGAATTACAGAGTACGCAACTAAAACCCTACCTAGCAATTTGTTACAATTCCACTAAGTAATTCCATTAATTAATTCATATCCCCCAAGCAAAGAGAAACATTCGTGAATTGAAATACAAATTCTAGAATTAAAACTCCAGCATAACAGCATAGTAATTACCTTATACACAGAAGGTCGACGAGTAGTACTGTGGCGAGTACAACAACAAGCAACAGACAGTAGCAATGACCAGACCAGACCAGACCAGACCAGACCTTCCTTTCGTAGTCGCAAACAACCATAGCTTTCTCCCTTTCGTAGCGGCCCCAGCAGACCGTTCTCCCCAATTCAGTCTTCGCTTTACAATTTCCCCAAATTCAGTCGTCCCAGCCGAAAGTTAGGGTTCAATTTCTCCCAATTCAGTCGTCCCTTATGAATTAGGGTTCAATTTCCCTCAATTGACTCGTCCCTTATGAATTTTTCTTCTGAAAGGAAAGGATAAAACGGGGGTCCGTCGAAAAAAAAAAAGGATGAAACGGGGGTCCGTTTGCAAACTAACGCCAAATTCCTCCAGTTAACAACAACTAACGGTCTTGTTAACGCTGATATTTGATTTGGCGTAAAACCTAAACGAGTAAAATGTCTTATTATTTACCCATACTATTAGTTGCAAAATGATGAGCGTACCCCCATGAGATGGAATGCAAGTATCTCAGCTTCAAAAACTTGTATTTTCTCCTCCCTCCACAACTCAACTCAAACACCGACCTTAATTTTCCGGCGTTATTTTCTCTCTTTTCTCCCTTCTCTGATCACCACCATTTTTCCTCTCTTTCTCTCCTCTATCTTTTTGTGGTTCTCTCCATTCATACGTGGACATTCATGGCTTCCACCACCATTTCCGACATCAGCACCAACCACTCAGTATGCTCAATTTTTTCAAATTCTTTTTTTTTTATTCAATCATATTTTAACAGTTTGAATTTATGGGTTTGTGGATTCTAACTTGTTGATTTCTACATGCTCTGTTTTTATGCAAATTTGATTGAATTATGCGAATTGAATTGAATTTGTGGTTAGTGGGTGTGGGTTTGTGGGTTGTGAATGTGGTTTGTGTGTTTGTGGGTTTTGGGTTTGGGTTGTGAGTGTGTATTTGGGTTTGGGTTGTGAGTTTGGGTAGTAGGTTGTGGGGCAAACGGGCTGTTGTTCTGGGTTGTGAGGTGTGGGTCTGGGTTGTGAGGTGTGGGTCTGGGTTGAGGTCAGCTGCACATATGCAACTTGGTAACAAACATATGTCTTAGGTTGCCATCAATTTCTGATTATAATGTCCGCCCTTTAGTGCACTTAAGATCTAGGTTCGCGATTGGATTCGTTCCTTCCACAAATGAATGCAAAGTCGTGGCAGTACTTACCAATTCTAACAGGACAGATTATAAAGCTGAAATTTTTTCAAATAAAAAAAGAGTGTGGAACCTTATACCAAAGCCTCACTTGTTGGAGATGAATGAGATTATAGACAATTTAAAATCAGATTTTCCACTTTATTGTGAAAAGGAATCAACCTCGAATTGGTTGATGGAGATGAATGGGATGAAGTTTGTGGTATGTTTTCAATATGTAAATGAAATGTTTCATAAAATGGAGCTTCCGGAGCATGAAATGCAGCCTCACTTGTTCACTTTTGGGGGAAATTAGGTTTGTTGGGTTTTCCACATTGAGGACGGTCATGTGGGTTAGGAAATCTAAAGTGAGAGGCTACTATTGGGAAGTTTTTAGCAGTTTTCTAACAACTACAGAGTTACACGATTATGTCATGAACCCAGCACGTGTGAAAGTCATTTTTGATGAAGCATACAATGAGAAACTCTATATACTGACTTGGGCGGAGTTTAGTATGCGAGATCGTGTTAAGAGGATGGTCTGTTACGATTTTGTTAGTCAACGAATGGATTGGGTCAGGGAAGCTGCTTACTGTAAGATCAAATATGCAGAAAAATACAAAGAAACCTTGATTTTGCACAATGAATTAAGTGGAAGGATCTTAAAACCAATAAGGTTCATATATGAGTAGCTTGGTAGGTATTTATTCTTACACTGTGTATTTGTATTTTTTAAGTCATTCACTAAGAAACCTTGGCACCTGTCTCATGGTTGTTTTTTTTTTTTACCCAAGGTTGGTTTATGGCTTTTCATCCTTGTTCCGGCTGTTGTGTGGTCTATTTGTCTTTTGTTGGGGCTGCTCGCTGTGTTGATTCTGGGTTGCTCACTGTGTTGATTCTTGGTTTGATTCTTGATATTCTTGCTCTATTTGTTGCTTCTGATATTTTTGTAAGATTTGACTGCTATTCTTGTTATTGATTTGTGACTCATTTTTGGTAGCAAAACCTTTTTTGACATGGATTGTAGTTTGTAAATTTAGGTTTAGGAGTGTATAATCTGGCAAAGTTTTCATCTTGTAAATTTAGGGTGGTGGTTTTGGGTTAAGAGGTGTCGGTTTCGGGGTAGGGACTCAATTGAAGGTGGGGGATGGGTAGGGCGGCCGTTTTCCGGCCGTGGGAATAGGGTGGAAGGGGTGGTTTCAATTTAAGGGTGGTGGTTGGGGAAAAATGAAAAAGGGAAAATGGGTGGGGGTGGGGATGCGTGAGAGGGGGAAATGGAGGGGGGTGGGGTTGCCGGCCGCCGCTGGCGAGGGGGAGGGGGGAGGCCGGAAGGGGTGGCGGTTGGGGAGGGGTAGTTGGGCCGGTGGTGGGGGTGGGGTTTTTGTTTTTGTTTTTCTTTTTTTAAAATTAATTTCATTATTAAATGGCTAAGTGTTTAGTTTAGAGGATAATTTAGGAGGATTAAAGACTAATTGGATATATTTGTAATAATTAAGAAATTCTGGTTTCTTTTTACAAAAATTAGCACAAAATGGTTTTTTTTTTTTTTTTTTTTTGCAAAAATTGTTTTATAAGGTTTTTTTTTTTTTTTTTGACAAAACCGAGCTTTTATAAGGTTTTTTTTGACAAATTTTCCTTTAAAATATTTGCATCGATTAGATGTTTAAATGGAAGTAGTATATTAGTGCGGAGTAAATTAAATTATCATGGGGCACTACAAGACGTCAAAAAAATAAATAAATAAAAGTGAGTTTTTTTTTTTCTTTATTTTTTTTTTTTTGAGTAAAAGTGAATTTTCTCCTTTTAGTGAACTTCAAGCTGAAATTCACTGAAGTTTTAACATCAATCTAAATCTGTCCTATCACTAGGATAAATGTTGTTGCTCAATATAAGAACAAACTACTCCGTAATAATAACAGTCATTTGTACACAGTTGCTTAACATCTCTGACATCGAAGATTTATTTACTAACTCAATCAACATCATTCCCAGAACCTGCTCTAGGTTGATGCGCGATTGCCATATTAAATTATAAGCAAGATATGACCTTATTCCATGTTCAGCAAGTGAATTAGTCTAGCTAATTAATGACCAAGTCTACAACAGCTACTGCTATAAATTTACTTTTTTTTGTTTTTCTCCTCTCAGCAATGTTATATTTTCTATGTATAAACATCATTCTCAGCTATCTAACTGCATAATTATATATTTTACCTTCCTTTGACAAATTCACGTTTTATTGAGCTATTTAAATACAGTCTTCGGATATCAAATATAGTACAAAACAAACTCTCCCTTCGGATAATTATACATAATCATGACTGCTCTAATTTGCATTGCAGTTTTCTTGATTGCTCCTTTTCTCTCCCAGGCAGCTGATCCTGATCTTTTACTGGCTTTTTCTCCATACTTGTTTAAGTAAAATTTTGTTCTTATTAATAGGTGTATATATTCAGCTTTATACTCCGTAGATTATGACACCATACTATTTGCAAAACCTTATGATGCTTCAACTATTCAACTTATAATAATATAGACCCTAGGTTATTGAGGGTTGATCAGGCAAAAGTTCCCTTTAATTACATATGAAGTTCAAAAACGCACACAAGTGGAATGCTTTTGATTGATCTTAGTTAAATAAGGGCAATAATCACCAATTACCACATTAAACCACATCAGGCTCTTTAAGTTCAAAACAAATACAAAGTAACACTACAACTACTAGTCACTAACAAAGCAATTCATTCTAGCTTGGCTCGTCAAGGCGACAAATACATAACATATACTCGTACGCTTTAACTCTACACCAACATCAATCCCAATCGCTGCCCTCATCTTCTTCTGCATGAGTAGTTAAATCATCCTCATTCATCAAAATCACTCTAGGCTGCCAACCAGGCTGTACAAAATCAAAACAAAGGCTTCATATTGTTAATTACCCAAAGTTAATACAACAAATAGACTAATTATAACCTAAATCTTGACTTACACTTATAGTTGTGGACAATACATGACCCGATAAAGTCTGTTGCTTCATATGAATATATGGTATCGCACGTCTATCCCAAATAACTAAAAGACCCCCTAATCCATTGTCAGGACCAATAACCTCGATGAAGTAATCTTCACCCAAGACCTTGCGAATTAAGTACACAAATGGCTTGTTTACTCTAGCTTCAGTCAAGACAACGACCATAGGCGAATAAGCTTCAAATAGGATGGCAAAATTTTCATCAAACGAAGGTCGATGGATACTCTTAGCATTCCATATCACTAACTTAGAGCCCTTCATGAAACATCTAATTTTTAATGAGCCCGTAATTCTTTGAGAACTAATACATACGCTGTAGAACCTAGTTTGACTCAATGAAGCAACAAAAGAGAGGACATTTAAGTGAACATGTGTTATCATATTATCGACCTCCAACACGTGAACACCAAACATATTACTTCCAAACACAACTTCTCTTGGATCCGAAGGGACCGAGAATATTGGAATCTCATCCGGGGACATAATGATCTTCATATCAAAAATGGGTACTAAATCATCTGGAATGAACGGAGGATCCATGTCTTCAACATTGTAGCAAAACCATTTCATGAACACTGACACACCCTTGTGTAAATAAGCATCCATATCATCTAGAAGAGGGATATATGCCGGTAGGAACTGATCCTGTTGATCGTGTTCTATCATCGTCCAAAACTGAGACATAAACTGGGATCCATTCTCTGGATACGTATTAAGCTCAGAAAATAAAGCATATAAAGAAAGCTCATTATCAGGTGTAAAATCACTATCAACGTGATAGTATTTTGTTTTGTTGAACTTCAATTCCGACTCAGTAGATGCACACACAGGTTTGAGATACATTGTTTTATTTCGAGGGTGGAAATTGATTTTGCGCCTTGATCTACCAAGCTCAAGGTTGTGCAATTGGGAGATAATTGATTTTGGATTCTTTTGCATTATGCCAGTAATAAGTGTTTTTTAAATTTTTATATTTTTTCTTGATTGGATATTTCGGAGGAGTTTATGGCCAAAAAAAACAAAGGATATAGCCCATATAGGACAAAGACATGACTAGAAACTTCTCCCTTTCAATCTGGTCCCCTAAAGAAATAGTTATTCTCAAAAATCGTGGAAAATAAACAACTATTAGTCGATATATTTACCATTTTACCCATTTACCCTAAACCCTAGACCCTAGACCCTAAACCCTAGACCCTAGACCCTAGACCCTAAACCCAAGACCCTAAACCCTAGACCCAAGACCCTAAACCCTAAGCCCTAAACCCTAAACCCTAAGCCCTAAACCGTAAACCCTAAACCCTAAACCCTTAACCCTAAACCCTTAACCCTAAACCCTAAACCCTAAACCCTAAACCCTAAAACCCTAAGCCCTAATCACTAAACCCTCGACGCTACGAGCTCGAATATAAATCCAGAAGCCTAAACTCAAAACCCTCAACGCGTTAACAATATCATGAATACATACAAAGTTAACATCATGCTCGCCGGTTCATCAAAATATTACGAAGTAACAACTTTGAAATTGATTTCAAGGTGTTCTAACATTATGTAATTCTCATTGTCGGGTCGGTCGATTTAGCTAATATAATACATGCATTTTGTTGATAATATACTTACCATAACCGTCAATTGATTTG